TTGGGACATGTGTTACGCATGCCGAACCATCGTTTGCCGAAAAGATGTTTTTTTCCATGCCCAACTCTGAGTGACCTTAACGGAGAGGTAGCCAACCGTTGACTTGGCAGAGGAGTATGAAGGAGATCACGAAACGCTTGGGTGCTATCGGTGGTACTTGCCTCCCAGAATTGGGACTGCGCGATCCTCACTGTGCCTGGTTGCAGACACTACAAGATATAGCTGCCAACTAATGTCAGTGGCGTTCTTGTTGTCAGTTTCTATCCAGATTGCCGGAGTGAATATCTGGAGGTGTAGGCACCTCGGAATGGTTGTGTTAAGCTAGCACTAAGTCCCTCTCCCGTCCACCTTTATCGTTCTTTTTACAATAAGCTAGTCAAATAAATCGTGGTTGTACGGCAGTGCAGCATCGGTGTTGAACACTGATGTCATGCTGTCAATGATGATGATGATGACCATTTCAGGTGTACGATCTGAAATATTTTTGGTGTTTGATCAACTATGTTTCAGAAGTGTCACAACTCCAGATCGCCTAGTGATTAGGGTTGGTCCGAGCTCAATCTCTGCACGTCGACTGCTCCTGTCTGAATTTCGGCATCTTGGAAGTAGCCGTCGTGCTTTCTTCGGGTAGCATAACAGCTATGCACAAAATGAATGTTTCAAATGGAATCCGTTGGAACCAGCGGATTCGTAATGTTACCAGGAAACGGGTGTTTGATGAAGCAGAAGTTGCTTCCCTCAAAAACTCTATCAAGCACTGCAAGCTGAGGTGCCGGGGTCATATGTTACCAAGTTACCACTTACCGAGACGAGCGCCGTTTCCTGTGCCCGATTCGGAGTGACGGAAACCTAGCGGTGGACAAAATTTGACATGGCAGAAGGGAATGAGGAATGGAAAGGTTTGGATGCCGCTAGTGATGTTCGCTTTCCAGAGTGGAGTCTATGCGATCTTCGCTGTGCTTGACTGGAAACAGTAAATGAAATGATGCCAGTGTTCATGCTGTTGGCTTCTCTGCAAGTTGTCTGATTACTGTCTTGGAAAACTAGGCACGTGCGATGTTTGTAATAGGCTATCCCTAGCCACCCATCTGTTCCGCTTTTTCTTCAAGAAAATTGACGGGATTTTAGGGCAGTGAAGCACCAGTGTTCCAATCTGATGTTACTGTTAGTAATGGTGATGTTTATTCAATAAATGGTAAATCCGTTGCAGTGACGTTGGATTGCAAAGGTTAATATTGACGACATCTTCGTTCAGTGTGTACCTGTGAACGCAAGCTTCGTATAAATGACTCTAACCCATCATGAATGCTTTTATTTTAGCTCTTTTCGTCTTGCACCCATTATGAACGACTCGAAAATTCAGGTAGGCCTAAAGAAGCTCCCAATTCACCTTCAGGTAAGCTTCACATCTCAGATTCACATTCATTTGGCAGAGCTCGCAAAATCGTCTGTTGATCAAAGGTGGTAAAATTGTCAATGATGATAGAAGCTTTCATGGTGACATCTACATCGAGGATGGTATCATAAAGTGAGCGTTACATTCACCGCTTTACCTCATTTCCGTGCGTTCCATCAGGCAAGTGGGAACACAGTTGACCATCCCCGGCGGAGTCCGCATCATTGATGCTGCTGGGAAACTGGTTATCCCAGGTTAGGTCACTTCATTTCGTTCGCATAAGTTCTGCAGGTGGCATTGATACTCATACACATCTCCAGATGCCTTTCATGGGCTCCGTTTCCTCTGACGACTTTTACTCCGGAACTAAAGCAGCCATAGCTGGTGGGACAACAACTATAAGTTGGTTGACACCTCACTCATTCAGTTGACTTATTTCTTCGTTACAGTTGATTTCGTCAACCCATCTAAAGGCACTTCTTTACTTAAAATGTATGAACAATATCGGGAGTGGGCAGATTCCAAAGTGTGTTGTGACTATGGACTTCATGTGATTGTGCCACATTTCAATGAACAAGTGGCCAAGGAAATGGAAATCCTAGTCAAAGAGAAAGGCGTGAATTCTTTTAAAATATTTCTAGCCTATGCGGATTCCCTCTTACTGGAAGATGATGAAGTGTTTCAAGTATTTCGTGTGTGCAAGCGCCTGGGTGCATTGGCTATGGCTCATGCAGAGAACGGCAAACTTATCAAACTTCTTCAAGATGAAATATTTCAATCGGGTATAACCGGTCCGGAGGGTCATCTTTATTCACGACCGGAAGAGGTGAGTTTGCACTGATAACCAAGGGTGATTTTTTCACAAACACTTCATTCCTTTCTGCCTTTATTGATGTTCAGGTCACTTTCAATCCGTTTCGTAGTTTCACTTGCGTGGAATCTCGTTTACCATGGTAAGGGGAATATAAGACAAAGATAGACTTCTCGTCTTGGTTGTTATTGTCATTATTAAAAGGCCACTATTATTGGTGTTCCGCTCTTATGAGAGGACAGGACAAAAGTTGTAGCGCCGCCTTGATTCACAAGGTACTCACAGGCAAGTTGTCCCCGGTGCATAAGTTCGTGGCCAGTAGGTTGAACTCGTCTGAGTGGGAGGTGAATTCCACTTGGTTAAAGTCTGAGCAGCGCATCACATATATCGAGCAGTTATTTCTCAGAGGAAGCCTTTCTGCACTCCAAATTCCCTTTTCCAATGGTTTTTGGGGGACAGGTCATAATGCTGCAATGTGAAATAGAAACGGCTATCGTCAATTTGAGCGCTGTGGGATATTCATGCATCTCTGAACCGAGTACATCGGAGTCTCCTTAAGCGTTGCTGTGACGCTTGTCTGTCGTTTTGTGCAGTCCCCAAGCTGAGTGAGACTTGCAAAGAATAGCATCTCACTCCAACATTACGTCTAGGTTTATCTATTCCAATCATATTAGGTGTAGGCATCTTGCCTTCAACCGTTCTCCCCAAGGATACAGGCCATTTCCCCATAACTCTCCATCCCTGTCCTTTTCATTCTTACAAGACCTTCTTCCTTCGTCGTATGGAAGGTAAGCACTAGGGCGTCCAACATTACGTCTAGGTTTATCTATTCCAATCATATTAGGTGTAGGCATCTTGCCTTCAACCGTTCTCCCCAAGGATACAGGCCATTTCCCCATAACTCTCCATCTTTCATTCTTACAAGACCTTCTTCCTTGGTCGTATGGAAGGTAAGCCACTAGGGCGTTGCTGTTTTTGGTGCTGATCGGTTGCTGTTAGTGAGTAGTTTTGGTAAGATCTAGCCAAGTTGAAATGTTTACAGCTCAATCTCTGTGTGACCGAATAAACCAAGTGGACGCTAATAACAACTCACAGTTTGAATGAGATGCAAGACCCAACCTCGCACTCTAACAGAGGTGTGTGCTCAGATCCTGAGAAGCTCGACCACACAATCGCCTAATCGTGACCCGTCATATATGTGTACAGCGATCGCCGGCGTATCCCTATGGTCTTCCTGGTAATCGTTTTGAATGGCTGCCACACTGATTCATGTTCACTTCCTCACCAAACCAGCCGTTGGCTTATTCAATCAGCTGACTATCGCTGTCGGAGTATTTTATCCGAATAGTCGTTGATGATCGCCGGAGATCTGACAGTTACCAAACCATGGGTTTGAGATTTACCCAGATGTTCTCAGATAAAAACAGTTCTTTTGGAGGCATTTAGTCAGGAAAGGAGCGGTTGTCTTAAAACCATTTATTTTCCTGGTGGTTGAATAGCGGTGAAGCTGCTGGTGTATTACTTCCCATCATAATGGCGTTACGTAAAATTTAGAACAGAGATTTTTTGGTGTACTAATCTTATTCACAAAGACTCATCTTGCTGATGAGTGTAGTTATACAGTATTCCCTCTATCTAACAACTCTTCCTGTGGCGGCCGTGCAGCTATGCACAACTGTCGCGAAGCTAGGCCATTTCCCAATGGTACGCCCACCAACGCTGTCTAATTTGCTTAGCTTTTTCACGGCCATGCAATCGACCCAGGGAAAGTTGTTCAAATCGTCCACCGTTTCTTGACCAATCGGAACGCTTGCTCACATTAGGCACAACTGAGCTGTAGCAAGCACTTTGTTTAATCCTGCTCCCCTAAGTCTCTGTTTCCAAGCCTTTAGTCTTGGATACGCCCTGGCACTGACGTCTACGTCTCGCATGAGTCATTCGGATTGACCTAATTAGAGCAATTCCTTAACCAACCCAAAACAATATGAACTACTGTTATCCTTGCTTGTGTCGCTCTGTATTACGCTCATTGAAGAGAAATTACTGGAACTACTATCTTCCTCCATGATAGAATCTGTGTGTGATGAGTATTCCATAAAAGTAATAGTGTTTCTGTAATGCTGCAGGACTTTGAGAACAAGTTTGCAGCATCTGCCTCTTCATCGTTGTGTAAAAGGATAGGCTTCATTTTTAGGCAGTTGGTCTTGATTTCTGCAGCACTTTGCAAACAGTTGCATCCAACGTTGCCACTCCATACATTTTCTCATCCTCTTTTAGGCTGAGATCGAGGCTACTAGCAGAGTAGTGACAATTGCCGATGCTGCCGGATGTCCATTGTACGTGGTCCATGTGATGAGCGCTTTGGCTGCCAAGTTGATCTCGGATGCTCGACATCGAGGATCGGTGGTAATGGGCGAAGCGGTTGCTTCTGCTTTGGGAACGGACGGTAGGAATTATCTGGATGCTTGTTGGCGTCATGCAGCAGGACATGTGATGAGCCCTCCCCTGAGGCCCGATCCGAATAACTCGGTGGAACTGATGAAATGTCTTGGACATGGTGAATTGGAAACCACCGGAACCGATCACTGTGTATTCAAAACTGAACAGAAAGCTATGGGCAAGGATGATTTCCGCAAAATACCCAATGGAGTCAATGGCATTGAGGATCGAATGTCAGTTATCTGGGAAAAAGGCGTGGTGGGTAACATGGTCTTCTTCGAGTGAAGTGATTGGGCATAGAGTGGAATTTCGTGTTCATGTGGACTTGCGCTGTTACTGGTCTCAAGTCAACTATCTGAATGCGCGCTGTTTTGGTTTCACCAACATTAAAGATTTTTTGGAAATAGTTTCTGAATCAGGCATTTACCAGCTGTGGGATCAATACAGTGCGTTTATCTTTACATATAGGGGAAATCATCAAGTAGTTCTGTTCACGTATGGATGGCCACGACTTAATGAGCTGCCCCATTCCTGTAGCTGGCTCGTACTAGTACAGTTATCATTCTCGTCAACATTTTGGTTGACGCTGATGCTCTGCTGATATTCTAAAGAAATGGGGTTACATTGTCTTAGCTCCCCCTAGTGACCAACATGCCTTAGGGTCAGTCCTACTCATCTCAGTAATCGAAACCAACTTTCCTTTTGGGTTTGAAGTAGAACATAAGGTTGAGGTAAACTCGGGGTCGGGTTCCACCTGATGAGCCCCAAGGCGAAACTGGTCGTGGACTCAACGAATTTTCAGCAGCCTTATGGGTAGTGTATTACGCCTAGGCAAGTTCATTTTTGTACTCTCATGGTCTGTTTCCAGCTGCTTGTCTGTTCTTTTGCCTGTCGCGACTAGGTGAACCGCATCACGTGACGTAGACCCTGCGACTGAAGAATGACGCTAACGCATGGCGAAATTTAATCACAGTCGTTAGGTACTACTCGTGACCGAAGGTACAGTGCTTAACTACGAACCAGTCGATCGCGCGTTCGAATCTCTAGATGTTTGTCGGCTGTACATTGTTCATGGTTCTTAACAAAGACTTCATAGTTTCTCAGATTACATTGTTTTGGCTTACGTAATGAGATATTTGGAAATATGTGTCTGTGTTCTGTTTGTCTGTGAAGACACCGCAAAATTATGGTCTGGATAATCCCACACAGAGATGTTTCGTTTTGTTACATCGTTTACGGTGTTAAGGTCATTTGCTGGGGATATATGCGCAACAGCTATCATACCAGGGTTTATTCCGTCTAGCCGACCGGATGTAGGACAAAGGCCTGTGTCTCAGTAGGTTTTGGGCATTCTGTGGGTTACTTTCATGAATCTGATCTTCCTGGTAGGGGGCGGACAGGTGGGTCCGTAATTGGCTCAGCCAAACTGGCCTTTCGCTCTGTGTTTTTGGCTGGAGACACTGGAGGATGTGATAGAATAAAAAAGACAGTGGAAGACACACAAAGCACCCCATGATCCTAAATAAACAAAACCAAAATTTCCAAAACGGATGTGTAGTAAACCTGTCAAAAGAAACGGGTGGTCCACCGATGATTAATTTGCCGTGCCGTGATTTGTTTAGCGTGAGATTTGTATTTCACTATACGGATGACATTTCTATCTATTTTGAACAGGACTTCGACTAACCTATACCTCAAGTGATATATGGTGCGAGCTGAAGGCCAATCTCTCCGAGTACGGCCTTCAAGGCCCAATCAGAAATGACTTCTTTCGATGGTCACAACTGAATCTTCAGATAGGCGACTACCGTTCAGTACTTTTCGGGCGCGTAGATGTACAAAAGGTTAAAAACTCTCATCAAACACTGTGATGAAGCTAATTGCTTACTGATGAAGATACTCTAAAATATACGTTTTTTTTTCGATCGTACTTCAGGCATATATCGTTCTCATCAAACACTGTGATGAAGCTAATTGCTTACTGATGAAGATACTCTAAAATATACGTTTTTTTTCGATCGTACTTCAGGACATATATCGTTCCTCTAACCTTCATCCTCAACAAGCGATATCTTAAATTAATCGAGGAATCCTAATAGTACATAAGGCTGTGTGTTGTGTAAGTCTGGCACCGTATTATGTTCCTTCTGCCTCAGACCCTCTAAATCCGCCGTAAGTGTCGAACCGGTTCCCATACGTACTTCTGGTTCCAGATTCATCCGCCTGTATACCGTTGCCATCCATTCCTGTTTTTTCCAGGTCCCAGGAATCTTGGATCCTTGCAAATTCGTCGCCGTGACCAGCACGAATGCGGCAAAAATATTCAATCTTTATCCACGTAAAGGTCGCATTGACGTAGGAAGCGATGCCGACCTGGTTATTTGGGATGGTGAAGCAACCCGTACAATTTCTGCTTCAACACATCATCAGAATGTCGATTTTAACATTTTCGAGGGAATGCGTTGCCATGGCGTTCCTGTGACTGTGCTTTCTGGTGGTCGCGTAGTACTTGAGGACGGAGAGCTACGAGTTACTCAGGGAGCTGGGCGTTTCCTCCCGTGTGCACCGTTTCCACCATACGTGTATGATCGCCTGAAGCCGTTGGAAAAGGTAGCTTGGATTGTTCTGTCTTTACTCAACACCTACCCATGTTTTTCCACCAGGTCGATAAATTACTTTCCTGGTTTTCTTGAACGAAATCAAACCATGAACTTTTGTGCAGTTTTTGTAACTGCCTTAATGAAATTTAGATTATCAAGGGTAGTATCCATCTTAGAACGAAGCTCTCAACTAACCAACGATATTGTACCAGGGGCTTGTACTAATTCGTGATGTTCTGTATCCGGAAAGCAAAGTAGATTTAATGTTTTACCACCCATCTTTTTGCTAATTCGGAATATTTCAAACTAAACCCCTAAACTTGTTTAGTGTGCCAATGATCAATGATTTAAATGTCCAGTGATGCGTTATGAGCGGAAATTGTGTGATCGATTTGGGATGAGTACTTACTACGTCATGTCAGCAGAACACAAGGATGCCACCCGAACTACAGCTAATATGTGAAATTGCGTTTCGGAAACGCAAAATGACCCCAAGTCCGAATAGCTAGTGTCTTGCGCTATCTGATGGTGAAGCCATTTTGGTCTGCGTGCGAACTCAACCAAGTGTTGTGTGGGACAGTGTCGGAAAATTAACAGGATGAAAAATTTATAAAAACCCTGTTGATACGACATACTTGGCTGCTATTCTGTGCTTGAGCTTCAACTTTAGCCCCATCATCAGTTTCCGCTCAAAGGACAAATTGTTACATCATACCACCAGCTTTTGTGTGTACTCATTTGTATGCTCGTGCTAAGCATCATACACCGGTCGACCGACAAGGCATCTGTCGGACAGAATGTGGGAACACAATCCCGTGTCCCTGAGTGGTAGTTGGAATAAACCGGGCTCAAGTGCAATTGCATCACATTTGGCCTTCACTATCATACACTACGTCATCATCATTGTCAGCTGTAATAACCGCGCACTCGTCGTACAGTGATTGTAGCCGCCACAGTTTCGTTCACCGATGATTCGCGGAGGTGGGGTAGGTAGTTGTTCATTGGAGGCGGGAGCTGGTAAATTAGTGCGTGAATACAGCACTGTAGGTGGACTGTTAAGTGGGTGAATTGGGAAGGGAGCTATGCATTCAAGGCAATAGCTTGGATGCATGAGCGCCATTGAGGGCACGACTGGGCCACGTCTGGTGAAATGGCAACGGAAATTCCCAAAAATCATCCAAATGTGATAGTCTCCTCATAGGAAGGCAGAACTGTGAGTCACTGTTTTAGGGCTCCTTTATCTTGGGATAACCTGGATGGATACATTTATTGCCTACTGACTTAGTTCGGCACTCCAAGGACTGGCTGAGGGCTGCGTTGGGTCGATGTGTAGGAAAGTGTGCCGATATGAATGTTGTTTGGAGTCAGCCGTGAGGCAACGAAATCATATACGAGTTATTCAATCGCGGCTCATGTGAACACTTGCTTTGTTGTTTGTTTCTCGGTTTGTGAAAAAACTGCTGCTAATGCCGACCTTATAATCTCTAAATAGTTGTGAACCATCGGGAACTGCACTCCTTTCAGAAGTGAGCATCAAAATGAATATTCTTGGTAAAGTTGTCATCCTGTCTTCTAGCATTCAACGTTCATGTCACACCTATCCTGTATTGTCACCAATGACTTATCTTTGTGCGTGAAAAGATGGCATACATTCATAAGCGGCGGGTGGCATGGTACTTGTTGACGGTCAGATTTTCTTAAAGTGACGTTGAGACCAAGTTTGGCAGTTTGGTAGCCTGATTCAGCGCGGTGGTTTGTACACATCCTTCTTGAACGTAAACGTTTCCCTGCCAGTGACTTTTGTGAGGTTCCAAACAATGAGCTTGAGAGCTTCCGTCTCAACTCGGGCTGCACTGACTCGGTTCTGTTACACATTCAATGGTGTTTCCCACAATTTAGGGCTTATCTGTCTTTACGACATCCACTTTGACTTACATCTCCGTGTCTTTCGCTGCCCCACTCTTTGGCCACACTACATTACGGCTACCGACAGACAGCTTGCCGTCGAGTGTGAATGTGCAAATTGGCAACTTTTGACCCTACTGTCGGTTTCTGTTTCATATATTCCGGCACCCAATATCTCACTGAGGAGTAGGCGGAGCTGTGCATGCATCGATGGTAACAAGTTTTTCTACCCTGCAATTTTTCTGGAAGGTAATAATCAGACGCGTGACAGAGGAAAGTTTCTTGTCTACGATCTGACTGTCACCATTTCGTTTTTCTTTCCAACTCTCTGATTCTCGCTTCCTCCTCTTCATAGGCACGCGCTGTTACCCTGATCGAACGTCCACCTTATACTGGTCCGGTGTCTACGGAATTTTGTTTGACTGATAGTTCCAGTCCAGTAAAGAACGGACAGGTTGCAGAAGCCGTCGGTGCGAACGGAGACGGCCCTCGTTTGCGGGCTCCAACTTGTGGGGGTGGAAGGAACATGCAGGAATCCAGCTTTTCTCTCAGTGGTAAGTATTTCCAAGGTGTTTGCTAAATTTGCGGCATTCAGCTGTTGCACGCTTTCGGTGCCTAACTGCCATGCCACCCGAAGGATGCACGGGGGCTGGGATACTGCCAGGTGTGCGACCTCATCGATGACCAGGTATCTGCATTAGAGGCCGTAGCGACATGTACTGCAGGATTGTCGCAAATCAAGACAAATAGTTGGCGCGACCGGTATATTGGACGGACACTAGCCTACAAACATCCAGCTGCCAATCGCTCAGAGAAAGGATGGCACCTCTATATTGGACCAGCTAGTTTTCGGTAGCTAAAAGTAGCGTGTTGACCATACTGGAAACCTACTCCGCTATATCTTGTTTTGGAAACGCCTTGGGTAAGAGCTGTTTTTACCCCACACATCTGCTTTAGTGTGACCAGAAGTCTCGACAGGCCTTCTTGAAACATGGAAACGCCTTGGGTAAGAGCTGTTTTTATCCCACAATTCAGGATACCGTTCACATCTGCCATGGTGTGACCAGAAGTCTCGACAGGCCTTCATGAAACGGGATCTGATCTTGACCGGCTGCTGCTGACTGGCTTGCATCCTACTAGTCGTTGAGATTCTATCAATTTTTACCTAGGATAACTAGGTTTCCTAGTCAAGCACATTCAACAAACTGATACCAAATTGCAGGGAACATAGATACGTGTACAAACTGGTGAATTTTGCTAACAGCACAAATGCCTTGGCAACGGTTGGCGTTAGACCGTGTCGGTTTGTTTACACACTCAAGAGCTACGACCGACGGATCTACTACATCACATTTACATGTTGGCGGTGTCACGCCTGATGATACAGTTTTGGCTGCGTAAGTTGTGTAGGCACGAGGACTCGAATCAGTATTTTCAAAAACAAAAAACCACACTGCCACGCGATTGCAAATATTCATGATAAATAATGATGTCTCTCCCGCCTCTTATCGAATTTCGGCTCACTCAAGAAACGCTGTCTCGGACGTCGAAATCAACGAAGCTGACAACTTGATTGTAACACATTGTAACCACATTATAATGAGAGAATTGCAGCTCTCAAGCCTGGGCGGTTTCCTTTTTTCTTGGTATCTGCATATCTGCCCACAACATGGCGCATGCGAGAAAAAATACCCAGCTTGTCGACTTTGACGAGACGCACAATGTCCTTCGACTTATTGGGTTGTATTTCTGCGTCTCATGCATCTATGGTTACCCCGACAGGCATCCAGTCAATGAACCCGTACACTAACCACTATGCGGGTTAAGCCCTGACACCATTCGTGATTCGTGAATAGCTGATGAATAATTTATGAACCTCGATCAAAATAAGTCATCAGTTTTTTCATCTTGCATCAGCTTGAATTGTGTGGAAGACATTTAGATGGGTTCACTTTCATGCAATCGCTCGTTTTTCTTGGTCGATATTGTTCGGCGTTAGTAATTTGGGAGTGATCGCCGAGCCGCCGTTGTGCAGAAGGGGCCTCCTGAACACGCCGAAGCATTCTCAATAAAAACTTCGGATTCGGAAGAAACGGCTACCATGTGAAGCTTAACTGCAAATAGATTCTGTACCTGATTGAAAATTCGTCCTTGTGAGGGACCTTACTATTACCAGGCTACGGGGTTCCAATATTGTAAGATGATCACCGTAAAGAGGTGTCCAGACGGCAAAAAGCTCGGCTAGGGGAGCGCTTTTATCTTCACCAAAACCCATCGGATAGTCTCACCACATCTTTAAACGACCTGCGAAATCCCAGCACCACAGCATCATAAACTGGACTCTTGACAGATAAGCTGATGTCACGCCAACGAGCAACGCCATGGGCAATACAGACTCACAAAAGCTGGCCTAGTCTTCCCAGTGTGGATAGCAATATCGCCTCTGGACTGATACAGCTGCTCAAGTGGACAAATCTGTCTACTACCTCAGTCGGCCCATCCGCAAGGTTTCGAGTCCAGCCGGTCTGCACTTTGCAGATATGAGCAGCATGCCAAACCGTGAGGCAGAATTATTTAGACTGTTTAATGTCACCTGCAATACTACGGCATCAGGTCCAGGAAGAGCTATGCTGTTTGAGTATCTGTGAGCGAACACGCTGGAAGCATTTCGACCTCACGGGCATTAGGCTGGAAGTTACTAAGCCATGGCCATATTGATGACCAAGTTTAGGAGGCTTTGCTTAACACGTGATGTGCTGAACTCAGGCGAGAGCTTCTCGTAGATCACGTTTCCCTGTCTGCATGCTATTACTCGATTTGGAAGTACCAAGTCATTTTTGGTTTTTATTTATGTTTTTGACTCACAATTATTCTTCGCATGATCTCGCGAGGAACGGGTCGTTTGCAGATTGTCTGTCTTGGAACCTCAGTGTAATCTGTTTTCATTCCTATTCCTTTCGATAAAATGCTCATCTCCTAACACTGAGAAGTACTAAATAGGGAAATCGACCATACTGTTAATGTATACATTATTCTGTTTTGTGCCCAAGAACACGAGCCTGCTCTTATCCCCCTTTAAATAAAAGGCAAAACAGTCGGAAGACAACCAAATTCGTTCCATGTTGCGCGAGGAAAAAACAACACTATATATTGCGTCCACGTAAAATGTTCACTTCGAAATTCCAATTGACGAAATCCGAGGTCAATTACCAACCTTCAGCGAAGTTATATCCGCATGTCGTGATCACCCAAATCTAAGTAATCCTGACGAATTTTCTGGTGCATAACGTCCCCTTGGTCACGCTATATTAAGAGTCCTTAATATCGTTGATATGTCGGCTATCATTGAACCTATAACAACAAAAACCGTGTTTCAAGCCAACCGTTAACTGAGGCAAACTACTTGCGTCGCACAGTGATTAGGTGCCTGTGGAGGAACGAGCCTACGGAAACGACCAGTCTTGTGGTCAGGATAAGTATCCGAATGTTTGTTGATGGACAGACTCGGGAAATTAGGATCCTAAAGATTACCCGCAGTTTTTTTTTTTCAGAAATAACCCTCTCCTGCCTTCCATGTAGTAAACTACACGTCGCTGATAGTGATGCCTCTTCAAGACTTAGTTGTTTCTCTCTATGCGGTGATGCAAGAGAGGTTACGTGTAAGAGTGAGTTGTTTCTCTCTCTCCCTCGGGCTCGAGCCTTCCTTTTTCTCGCAGAACACTGAAAGGAGCTTACTAGTTTAGGACGAGTGTCATTCACTTTCCGGTTAGACGATTACAGGACATCTATAACTGTATTTGTAGCCCGCTCTGAACGGCGTTGACGAATCCATTCGATTGACGAAAAATGTCAATAAAAGGCTCCCTGAACTGTACTATTTTTCGAAAAATGCATCTAGATTTGGTGTGCACATGATAGCTTGATATAGCTCAGTGTTTAAGGCGTGAACTTACTGACCGGATGGTCCGTGTTTCAAACCCGACCTCAGCATCTCGACAGCTTCCGTCTAAGCAAACTGGCATTATCACAGTCCTCATGCTTCCATCGAGTGGCATGGGAGCTAGGCGAAGAAAGGGTGTTACAGCTGAATGATGTACATAGGAGTGGATTGCACATTTCTACAGAGTTTCGGGTATACTTGTGGTATGTTTCTTCGTTTGACCTCCTCATCGAAGGCCTTCTGTGACCTTATCACGCCGTGTGACATCCGCGCTTTTACACTATGAGGACCGAAACATACGTTATTTACGCAGGTTACTACACGCTCGGTTATCGTGCTGTCTACCTGCACGTTTCTGTCTGCGGTTATCGCGTACCAGGAAACTTGACAGACGCGGCCTAAAGTAAACTGTATCATCCGCTTTACTGAGCGTAAAAACTGTATTCATTCATTCCGTGAGAAATGATGCAGACCGAGTGCGTGAATCCAGCCAGCCTGGCTATGTACTCACCGACTTCATGTGCGTACCATTAGTGAACAGCTAGTTGCATTTCTTGGTGATTAGCTCAGTTGACACAATACTTGTTTGTCACTTAGGTGACTGTCGTTCTAGGAGCAGGGCGCCAAAATAAATTTTGCGATTGAATGTAACTGAAAGTAACCAGTACCGTTAAGTGAATGCAGTATCGGGGTCGGTCGGTAAACTCACGAAGGTATTTCATAAGCGTTCGATTACTATATTGATACTTGGACTGAAGCGCATTCGAGCTAAGTCACAGTGTAACTTTTGGTAAACCTACCGGTCGTTTGTGATTTTTTTTCAGTAAGTCCAACTTGGAGGTAACTGGTGGTAGAAAAGTTCGCTGAGCTTGGCACTATTGTTGCAAGCATCTTGTTAACTAAGTGACACCATCAGTGCGTTGTTGCGAAGCGGAGCAGAGCTCTGTGACCATTTCGATCGCCATCCAAACAATCTGACTGACAAGCGCTCTCTATGTGTGGGGTTAATTTTAACGCAAACTCTAATTGGTTTTGTTTCATTCTTTCAGGAGCTCAAATCGGCGATGACCACCACGTCCGCACTACCATTCGCACCAGACAGCCTCCTGGTGGTGCTGCCAATCCCCTATGGTAGGACTTCCAGCTCGTTCACGGACAATCGCTTTGACTTTAGTAAAATCCCACCACTTGCGTTTTAATCTCAAGTATATCCTTTCCTTACCGTATCTTTTATTTTATACCTCAATGGCCCATTAAAAACGAGCTCGAGTATTCAATCATGCTTCTTTTGGCTTATGATTCTGCCGACAATCAACTCTGTTCGTTTTGTTCCCTCGATTTTTTTAACTTTATGTTCCAATTTCTATGCACCAGTGGATAAATCACTGCTTCCTATCGTGATGAGCCTTTTTCATCCTGGTCACCAACTGTCCAGCATTGGCAACAGTAATTCATCACGTACAGAGGCAGCTTACCGTTGAAAGAACGGTTTCAGTTCAGTTCACCTTTACAGTTCATAAGCCGTGCACCAAAGTGCAGTAGTTCCAGCTGCTACAGCTTCGTTCACTGAGGGAGACTAAAATCAGCGAATGAGATTGAGGTTTGCCTGGATGACTGATGCACCGAAGTGGTATCAGTTCGTAAGGAATATTCTTGACTTGATAAAAACATACGGTGTTTATTTGGGGTATTGATCATGCACGCCTTAGTGATTCAAACCAGTTCCTCGGCCCATATTACTGTAACGCCTTCTAGTGAGTGAAAAGTCCCACAGGTCGTCTTTCAATAGTATCCGATGTACGCCTTGCATCAGCAAGCTGTATCAGCACAGGAATGAGGTCAGAATGACAAAGTGTGCATTAAATTTGAGGACTGCGTAATGATGGGAGATGGTATAACAAAAAAAAATAGAATATTGTATGTAGATATATACATGTTCATGTCATTCACAAGAGGATACCATTGATGTTATGTACAAGGAGAAGACGAAGCGCTGTCCGTTATTGTCGATGGAGTGCAAATTTGGTTTGGGTGCATTCGTAAACTGGAGGTTGCGTGGAAGACGAAACCACAGACTGCAACAAGGAGTTCAAATCTACAGTACCCGACTGGTCTGCATGAGTGGTGGCGTTCGGTGGGACGAGCATCCGCAAAAATACCTCGGAATCCGAAACATAACCCGTTGGCTGGGTTGTTCGCGGTTCCGTTGGAGTGGGCTGTAGATAATTAGAAGGAAAATGTTGGGCTCAGCATCATGCGCGTGAAAAGCTTTGAAGATTCGATGAAGGTCACCTTAGTCAGTAAACTAGTCAAACGACGTGAATTTATGGAGGCCTTGATGGACTTCGGTCGAACTGCATCTGGTCATGCTAAAGGGGAGCATAACGCACTCTCCGACGATAAGAGAAAATGAATCCGGAAAAAACCCATTGCGGCCTCAGCCTCACGGATAAACCGGCCAAAATTTTAGCAACACTCCTGCTCAGTATGCTTTCCACCGGTCAGACGCACTACCAGCGCTAATCAAAAGGTTTCCGTCTGGGGATTGTGCCGATCATACTTTCATTCTGCGTTGAATAATAGAGCATGGCTCAAACAACTTACTGTTGTATCTTCCATAGACTCCTGCGCTGTCTCTGACCGACTGCAATGCCCTGAGTAACATGATACTGTTTGAAGAGTCCTAAACCTGTCGGATTGACAAGATCTTAATACTCGTCCACCAAAGTCTCAAGGGAGTCTTCATTGAACTTTCACACCGGAGTACGGCACGGGTCACCGTTACCTTCAAGCCGCTTGAGCTACACAATCGATTGGATATTGTGTACTGGTCTCAGAGGCCATAGAGGCGCGCAAATTACGAAGCATATCTAGACATCCGACCCTGAATACTTCGACGACTTCGCCTTACTGGAAGAGGCTCTTGGTGGTACTAAACGCTACCAAGGTAACAGAGCCTTCTAGGACAATAATTTGCTCTTTTTAGGTAAGGTTCACCACAGGAACAAAATCCAGGTCTTCCAGGATGTGCCAAAACAAGGGACTGTTAGTCACCGAAATCTAGAGTAGGTTAATTGATAAGCTCACCCATAACGCAATCGGAAGATAGCCACGATATAGCAAAACTGGCTCTACATATCTGGCAATGTGGACTGCAGCAGTTCGAACACCTAGTCAGGGAACCGGGTAACGGCTTCGTGAAGAGTGCCGTCAGTCCCATCTGTGTTGGGACTAGCAATGTCGCTTAGAAGGTGCGACCCGCCTACCCTATGTTTGGTTAGTCGCTGTAGGATTTGGCGCAAGACCGATGCTGACTGCTAACGACCGATATTCGCTCTACGTGGTTCACGCGCGTGTTGATACGACAAACTAAGAGAACTGTTGAGCAAAAAGAATATGAAACCGACAAACGTACCAAGACGTGATGAGGAACACGTGCGTCACCAAACTCCGCCGGTGTTTCGTGATTGTAGGATTGCTCCAGCAAATTCGGGTCGAGGTCTTGTGTGTCCAGTTCCGCATGATGCGTGTCCATTACGGCGGCTATATATTCAAGACAAAAGAACGGAAAATTCTGTGGTTTGAAAATACGCACAAATAAGACCACGAGAGTGTCAGTGGCCTTCCAAGCCCACCTGAACAATCAGTCCAATGCTATAAAGAAGGAAGATACATAAATAGTGGTGATATCAGATCAGATAGACCAGTAATTCCCAAACTGGTTTATTCCGCGCACTACTTTCAGTAAATCACAAAAGATCAACCGCATCCAGGATCACCAATCCGAAAAAATAGTTCCCCACACGAAACGCTCACTCATAAGTACTACGCACAAAAGTATTAACCACAGACACTTAGTGGTATCTCTTCGTGTTTTAACAATGTGATACAGAACAACAAGAGGAAAATAAAATTTCATTGTAGCAGATAGCTTCTGACATATTTCTATTGGTCACACCGTGTCACTCAAAACCCAAGTTACCAGAGAAACTAGACGACAGATGAATGCAGCATGGAAACTATGATATCGCATCGGTTGGGTTGGCTTTTGGTGGCGCAAAAAAAAGAACATCAATGCAGAACCTTCTGTGCCAGTTAGAATCCGATGGCGTTATTTATGATAACAGGTGCACAACAGAACGTCGGACTTAAATAGGATAACTTCTACCATTGGCGATCTTATAAAGTTGAGAACACGGCGACGATTTGGAAAGTTAACAATCCAGAGATGCACGATGAGGTTAAACGTAGATGGAATGAACAAGATGAGTTTAATTGAGAGAATTTAGCGAGTCACCAAGACGTTTCATGACTAGTACACGTCAAATAAACTCATGATGATAAAAGCAATACATTGATTCGATAGCCGTTTTGCCGCAGTATTTCAAGGCTCGTCAGGTTGAGGAGCCTAAGACTGTAGACTAATTTGATCATCATGACTGTACTACAAACGATGGCATCGACGGACGCCATTCAAACATTGAGACGCCGGCAGCGTCAAAATAGAGGGTGACACATGTCGAATGACCTAAGGAGCTCTTTCTGCAGCGATTCCTGGCAGCTTGTATTCAAGATCTGAAACGTGCTCAGAGCACCACGTAGTTAGTAGGTATTCGTTCGCGGCGTCATGGTTCGTAACCTAGTGGTGCACTCAGACGACCTAACTAAAGCTATACATGGCTACAGATATTTTCCGTGTTCTGATCACAAATCTTGTGGTAGTAGCACTAAATTCGACTCGGTGCTAACGGTGTGGCTCTTCTACTATGAACAAGTGTCCAGTCGCCTAGCCATTTGAAAATTTGGCCAGCCATATACATAATCTGATGTATATGACGGTGTAACAATTCCATAGTCTAGACAGTTGCCTCATCTCGAAACGCTTTATGGCCAAACCGAATCTGTATGGATCAAAGGTCCGTATACTGGTCTTATAGATGACTGTGTTGTGCTTGCACAACCGCAAATTTACCTCGGCTTGATCTCGTTTAGAAGTTAACGCGAATGTTTCTAAAGCATTAGTCTTTCGTCAACCTAGCAAGTCTGTGTGGATAAACTTCGTACCCTTCTGAAAATAAAAACTCGTCAAACTAAACAGCTTGAACTTGTAGCGTTAAATAACGAAAACAACTCACGGAGGGGCAATCTGGGAAGAAGTTCACCTGGCAAAGTTCGACCCTTTCACAATAGAAAAATGTAAACTAGAACCAAACAACAAAGCTGACTTGCTTGGAAGATATGACGCTCATGCTGACAGTAGGTACGCTTGATGATAGTTTACAGGCAGGATAAAAGAGCAGATCAAATTTTTTTTAAACTTCACAAAGACAGCGCCAGCAGCACCATGGGCAATACTGACCAAATTTATGATGCACCCAAGCGTTTCCAGCGCCCTAGTGACAGCCCGGTTGAACGATACAAATAATCTGATGCAGTCCGTTTCCCTCAGTTTTTTGGTTTTCTGCCCTTCTGTTAATTATGGATCCGTAATCGATCGACGATCAAATCAGCCCTCATCAGGGTCCAGAAAAACGTCATGCCTACAGCCATTCACTACCATATGGTCAATGGTACAAAAATCTAATCGTAATATGAAATGATCGAACAAACATCAGTGGAATGCAACAGAAGGCATGCAGCCGACTCGTTTTACGTTACCGTGACCATTCAAGCTGAGTCACCACAAAGAATTGGCTGCCGCACAGGGTAGCTCTGAACGATAGATTGCTGAGGCCTTTTAGGCGCTGTAGTTATTAGGCAAACAAAATGAGTGTGTGTTAGAAGCAAGACAACGGAAAATAGTATCCAACATGCTAAATGAAACGCACCGGCCATGGAATCGGTCAAGGAAATGTCCCCAAAGGCTGGAGATTCCGAAGGGATATGCGGTGTAGATGCGGAAGGACCATATTTGTGCAAGTATTGAAAATCGCTCCAATTACTGTCTCCGGGTGTTTCTGCAGTCTCCTCACGCTTGTAAGAAGTTATCTCGTTCAACGGTCGGTTGTTCCCTTGGTTGAATTCCTCCGTCTTTTCAACCGGCACCGCATCGGCAAGGATAGTAACTGCGCTCAGGCCGGGCAGGCTTCCCGAGTCGGTCCGTAATTCTTGTGGAGCCACAAAGTCGGTGGTGGAGGAAGGATGGTAGATAGTATTCAAAAGGGATACAAGTGTGTCATTGCTAAATGCAGACATTGAAGACTGATTGGTTCCGTTGTGTTCAAGAAGTGGACCAAGGCTGAGGTCACCATCCAGACTGACGAACGAACAGTTTGGATTCAAAGATGTGCCTAAAGGTGTGGTGACTGTAGCTGCTGTGAATGTCACTCCGGGGATGAAAGAAGAACCACAGGCAGAGATGGCTGTTGATGCAACACTCGGAACAGCAGTCTGAAGAATGAGTGAGTTGATGACAAGTGCAAGTTACAAAAGCAATGGAAGGTAAGTCGTCAACGTGAAATGACGCCACTTGGAAAAAAACGATCGAAAAATGACAGACATTGCACTCTAAACGCAAACTCGCATCAAATCAGTGCGATTTAAAAATAGAACCCCACAGGCCACCAAACGTTAAGGACCAATAGAACCATATAGTAACAACAAAAAATAAAATAACCGTGGGAAGAAAGAAACGAAATGTCTGCCTGAACAACGATTTCTTAATTTATTCCAAACATTTTCCAGCTGGTTACATTCAAATGACTGTTCACTTCGTTCAAGAAATCGTTAGGAACCTGACCACTGGTTAATAGTCAGATAATATCCCTGAATCAGAGTAGGTTGAATTCGAACTAAGAATAAATATGTAGTGGATATTTCCTGGAGGACTGGCGGCGTACGCATAATCGTTATTACTCGAATAGGTTCCGTGCCCGCAACTTCGTATTTATCTGACCCTTCACAAGACATGAAAATTCATGAGCAGTCATACGAACATTCACCAATAGTCCACGTCTCAAAGAAGTTCAACGCATGTGTCACAAAGTAAAACAGTTTGGAGGAATAAAGACTTCACACTTCCCTTCTGGGAAAAACGTTGGTCCATTTCACCTATGTCCGCAGGGAGCTGAAACCTACAGTTAACGATGGTCTAGGAAACAAGTGAGAGGACTCAGTTTAGGAAGGAATAAGAGACAGTACTACTCTTGTGATGCTGATATCTGTAGTCGAACGATGAGTGATGGTAGGAGCCATACAAAAAACGGTGCGCCTATTCACTATTGTCAGGTTACTCTAATAGATGGGCGAAACGTCTCGAAGAATAGCTCTGGTCCGCGAAAAGACTAATTCAAGGTCACGGACGTTGGAATGCACCAACATATGATCCATAGTACAGTGCGGGCCAAGCATAATCTTTCGTGAGAAGTTCCCCGAGTTTCCCTTCGCAAACAATGAGAGTCCAATGAATGCATATGCCAACTTCTTGAAAGTATTAAGTCGCGGTAGACGCCTCCAAAGCAGTGAACCAACTATTAGTGATCGCAACTCATATATTCGTAAATATCATAAATAGACGTCTGGTGTTTTGGCCGCCACTCAGAAAGAGCCGAATGTCTGTTTTAATATCTCCTTGTTACGACCGACCCAGGTGTTAATTTCACCCAAGAAGAGGGGGTGATGACATCTGACAGCCGCTTGTAGAATTTTTCTATAGTCATTCGACTGACCACTGTGAATCCAACTCCACGTTCTTCTGAACTACCTTGTGAAGTTCCAGACCAGCAGAGTGTAACTCCTGTGGATTTCCTTGAATGGCCAGCCGAGTTTCGTCAAGATCGGTCAGCTTCATAGGATGGCCCTTCAGTAGCTTGTAATTCCTTCGGGGCTATCACCTCGGGCACCATTATCCTTCCTATGAGCTGACGATAGCCAGCCACTAATACGGTTCCCTACAGTCTGATAGGATATGGGCCACTTTATAAACCGCTGCCTCAGCTGTTGTGAAAAGCGAAAAACATGTTCATAAACTCCTGTCACTTTTGGGTTTGGTAAATCAAATGCCCCTAAATCACATACCCTTACAGTGCTCATAATGTGCGCGTCGTAACAAAGCTCAGACTGCAAATAAAAACGTTATACCCACCTTGAACTCAATCTCCGTTGATTGAGATGCGGGTATCACAGGTTTTGAAATGGGTACTGTTGTCAATGTGGGAGTGGATGGTGTAAGAGAGGGCAAACTGAGCGGAAATATGTTGGATGAACGGCCAGATTTATGAGAGGAATGACTGCCGCGGCCAAGTGTGGATGTTCTCCGACGAGTATTGTACGCTTTCATGGCATTCAGTGAGGACTGTTTTGATGCGGATGTTACAGGCGAGGAAGTGATAGTATGACGCGGTACGATTGTTACGGGCGATTTCCTCGGTGTAATTGTCGGTGTCGCGTCCGGTCGAGGTGCAAGAGGAGTCAGGCGTGGAATGGGCATTTTGGCGCTTGGAGTGGTGCTAATCGGGCATGTGCGTGGTGCGTCTGGAGTTCGCTGGTGATCCAATTGTCGTTCAACAGCAGTAATTGGTGCCTGTTCATAAAAAGGATCAAAAAGACAATAAAAGTTTACTATTCACAAGCCGGTGTAAACAAAAAGTTGACAAACCATTGGAGAGACCACCTAAATGGACTGGTTAAAAGTTGCGACCTGTGAAAAGTTTGTTAGCGTAGTACGCCACAGGGAACTAAGGAAATTTGGTCTTTTCTGGAGACTGTTTCCTTCAGAGGGGTAGACTGACTCTTCAGGGTACAGTAAACACGAATGTGATGGAATAAACAAAATGACAAGTTCAATTTGTATGAGAGCACAGATAGGTTTGGTAATAAGGCAAAACGGCTGTTGGGGAATGACTTGCCTTGGTACCTGCGGGTTTAGTATAAATGACGAGATTGGGCATCTGCACCGACGCTACAGTTGGTGGTGTCTGTAGTACAGCCAGGTGACTAGCTCCTGTGGTTGTCACCTTCGGAACAACAACGGCCGGCGAGGCTGTACGAGGCACACTTTGGGTACGACTCAAAATGGGAGCATCTGTCATTGCTTGGCTTGATGCTGAGAGTGGCACAGTCGTCGGTGGCATGTGTGGTAAGGCTGTCACTCTTACTGGAGTGATTGGGGGCTGCATCACATTAGCTGCAGCAGTAGTAACAGACGAGGCATCCGCGGGTGTGTTATTCGGTATCAATGGGGCACACGATCCCGGTGTAGAATTGGCAGGTGCCGGCGGTTGCGGAACAAGAGTAGGTTTCTTCAACATATGTGGGGACGATTGCTTTGTGGCGGGAGATATGAAGAAGATAGTCAGAAGTTAACAATGGGCAACTGTAGGTTAAACTTAGCACCAAACGAAAAAATTCGAAAAAGACAGGGACGTGAAACTACCGGCCGGGGAAGTCCACAATTGTCCTCCGTTACCAGGTGGACAAAGACAATGGCTTCATGCCACCGTTTCTGTACCTTTGCTGATCTAACTGGCCGCGTATTCAGCAGTCACTTTGGACTTGCTGGGTTATGCCCGCCTAGGAATCCGGGGGAAGAGTGCTAATACGGTGCGAAGTGCAACACACAGAAGGCTCACCTAGCCTACCAAATAGATAGATGTGGGGAGCATTGCTTTGTGGCGGGAGATATGAAAAAGATAGTCAGAAGTTAACAATGGGCAACTGTAGGTTAAACTTAGCACCAAACGAAAAAATTCGAAAAAGACAGGGACGTGAAACTACCGGCCGGGGAAGTCCACAATTGTCCTCCGTTACCAGGTGGACAAAGACAATGGCTTCATGCCACCGTTTCTGTATCTTTGCTGATCTAACTGGCCGCGTATTCAGCAGTCACTTTGGACTTGCTGGGTTATGCCCGCCTAGGAATCCGGGGGAAGAGTGCTAATACGGTGCGAAGTGCAACACACAGAAGGCTCACCTAGCCTACCAAATAGATAGAGGTGGACCTTAAAATTGGCAGCAACTTACAAGATGGTTCTCATTAAGCCAAATACCGAACAAAGCTGAAGGGAGTTGCTTACCAGCCAGTCTCTATGAAGAAGATAGTCACTGGCATTCAGATGTAACAAACGGCGGAGTCCGTTGCCGATGCCATGGCCTTCTGGATCGCCCGGCTGATAGTAGAGGAACCCACTGTGACAGGAAGGGCCTGGATTGGACTTTGGACAGGTGGACTTTTCGGTTGTGAATAAATACTCGAATCGAATCCGTTCCGGGCAACCGAGTGCGAGAAACAGAGTAAGAACCTTGATTCCACGCGCTGCCTTGAAAACGGAGATGCATAAACAGAGGGCGGGGCTGGAGTGGGATTATATCAAAACACAAAAAGCACTAGAAAACAAATTTTCTGCCTTCCCCTGATGAGATTCAATGAAAACGTATAAAATACTGGATTCCCCACACTGACTATTCCAAATGGCCTTCTCATTCAGCCAAAGAGTGTCACTCCGAAAGAAAGCAGTTGCGAAACAAATTGGCAGTTCTTTAACAGTTTTACTCAAACGAACTAGAAAATCTTGCGTGGCAAGCGTCCGGCTCGTCCAGGTACATTCCTATTTGTTGTACAAAAATAGGCACTTATCCCTCAGTACTCGAGATTGAGACTGCCATTGCAGCTATCCTCTTATCGTAGTCTGTAAGTTTCGTTTTTCAAAATTTACAGTTTTCTGCCCTCCAACAGATTTGTTGGCAACTTCCGCAACACTAGCAAAACTTGAATACATCCCGGTCTGTAACTGAAGTGACTGAATAATAACATCCCTGTCGAATACGGTTCATCAGTTCGAAAAAAGGTCGCGCGATCTGACCAAGAGTCATCGGTGACCACGAGTTACACTGTCGACTCTGTCCATTTTACCGTCCGTCTTGTTTTCATCGCCGATTATCCCTTACGCCGTCGAATGTGGTGTCTGTTCAGCACACGTGTCACGGATTATTTAACGGACATGGAAGAGCCGATAGGAAGTGTGTTCAGTTTTCAATCTAAGTTACTAAGATCACCGAAGGGATAGAGCTGTTTGTTGTACGAGGGGGTGCGGCATTACGCCGAAGTTAAAACATATGATGTATACAAAGAGCATTCTAAAACTATGGTGAATACCCGCATACGGCAAATATAAGCTGACTGCGGTTGTCGAGCTTAAGGACACCTGGAGGTACTCGATAACACTATAGTTGTCAGTATGCAGTGAAGCAATTTAGCTTGAGTTTGTCAGCTACAAACCATGTGCCAAGGTACTTTGAATCCAACTACTGCAAAATCATTCGCTGAGAATCGGGAGGGTGAAGACAAGGTGGCAACCTTGCCTTCTCCCCGTTCTCTTCTTGCGGTGACGAATCAGACAGTAAAATAGTGAGGACCAGAAATCTTACATAAAAAGGCGAAAAGAGGGGTTACCTTAAAAAGCTAGCGCTACTGAGCAACGGCGGATAACCCGTTGGACTTGTGGAGGACTATAGGAGTTTGTATCAACAAACGCAAGGTATACTCCATAAAACCAAGTTCAATGTCATGTGGAATAAGGTGTCAAACAGTGGGGTCAATTATGCATGTACTCTAGTTATCAAGACCAATGCCGAAAAGCTATTGAGCATAAACGTTGTGAAATCATATGACGCTATTTGTAGCAGTATTGTTCCAGATACTAGATAAATTGCAACCGACTACAGTGAAAAGATATCGCACAAAGTAACGATCTTGTCGGCAGAGCCATAGACAACAGCAGCGTGCCCCACTGTGATACCACAACACGTCAGTTAAAACGAAAATGTAGCTGTTAGGGAAAATGCAAATACAAACATAAAGCCCACTACTAGCTTAAAACGATCATTCCGAAGCGACCAACAATGGGACTGTGTGAAAGGCCGGAAAATAAATCCAAAAACAACAAACCATCGTCAAGTGAACATCAGCAGAGAGATACTGGGAAAAGATTTGTGTTCCATGTCTTGCGCTGGTGCAAGAGTAAACAACACAACTCATAAAAAAACTACCTCAAAGCTGACACCTTGTGACAGCTGCCTCCCAGTTTCACGCAGATCCAATTCAGACGCTGCTGTAGATGACGAACTTTGTTGTGCAGCAGCACTGCTGCCGCCACCGCTCCCGGCAACAGAAGTGGATGGTAGCGGGGATGCAACAGCAATAGAAGAAGGGCAATCATTATAATCGACACCTTCATTGGCTCCACGAACGGAATCACTAGATCCAACTGAGAGCTCTGATGTGTAATTGGATTCTGAAACGAGAAAGTAACGGAAATTTGGGCTTTGAACCTCAGGAACCCCAGTTGGTTGCATGCAACCAAATCGCCCAGCTCAGCGAACAAGCCAACGACCATCGAAGTTTATTATGTATTTGACATCAAATAAACACAACACAACTTTACATGGCACTATTGCTGACCCGTACCAAGATTCAAAAAGGCCAAGCGAATTCGACTGCATTAAAATAGTGATCACAATAGAGATAGTCCTGTGAATGAAATGCAGTCACAAGGTTTTCGTACACCCAACATTTACGACTGTATTGAGTACTTTACCGACAGTCGACAGTTGGGTGGTCAGATTGTACCGTTTTGGAGATGGCTCCTACCAACCCGTTCTTCTTAAATGGAAATCAGCATCAATTTACATAGATTAAGAAGTGTCCGTCGTCTGGAGAAGATATTTCACTGCTTCAACAGTACTGTAGCAAAAAGTAGTAGTACGCACCTATGCCGAGAAAGCCTCGTAGAACGGTAAGTCAGTAGAGTACCCGTCGTGCCTTGACTGTCCGTTCCACTTTATCTCAATTCTGGGGTGGTTGGACCTTAGGAAGAAATTTCCAGCCATTGTAATCCCATGGTGTTAAGCAAGAACTTGGTGGGCCGCCTGCTACATCATCCTCATCATCATCGACAGCATGACATCAGTGTTCAACAGTGATGCTTCGCTGCCTGGTGCAGAAAAAACTGCTCGCTCCCAGCTCTTCTCCAAGATGGATCTTGTGAGGGTTTGTCGCTGTTGTTGTTGGTGGTGGTGGTGTCATTAGCTCGAAAAAACTCACCGTGGGTTGAAATAACGCAGCGCAGTTCACAATCGCTATCGATCTCTCTAAACCAGGCTTGAGCGAAATGGAGCGATCTCAGTCCAGTTTCCTCCGGATTGAATAGCAGTCCACGTCTATCAAAATAACTTCACCGTTAGGGTAGCACCTGCTCTACCATCCAACATTAAGGATCATTGGTTGTGATCCAATCACATTCAATAGTGCTGCCCAGAAAAACTATGGCCGAAAAATACTCTATCAATATGTGCTGAAACTACAAAACTGATTTCCTCACTGCCCATATGTCGTGCTCATGACAAGTTCCGGTCAAAATTACCCATTTCTGAAATCCCAAATACCCCGCTGATTGTAAAAAAAGATAACACGGATAGAAACTTGGGTTCCACCATTAAACCAAGACCGAAACCGTCACAAAGAAAGCAAATCAGCAAGGAAAAGCAACGGAAAACGAACCTGCTGATAAGGGTAACGCCGCATTCGAGTTTGAAGTCATGGGACCAGCGGCATTGGTGTCTGTTGTGTTTCGTCGTTCCAAATAAGAACGGAGGGCGATATCTCCCGAACGAATTCTCGCTACTTCATGTAGACGAATAGCTCCATCGATAGTTTGGCTTGGTGAGGTCCGTATGAGCAACCGTGGCATAGGACAGTTGTGTGCCGCAGGAAGACCAAGTAAAGTTTTCTGGGATAATACCAGAGGATCCATTTATATGATGGTTAGCCACATAAAATAATGAATAGTATAAAAAAAATTGCCCCACAAGTAATGAGCCATATGTCGTGCTCATGACAAGTTCCGGTCAAAATTACCCATTTCTGAAATCCCAAATACCCCGCTGATTGTAAAAAAAGATAACACGGATAGAAACTTGGGTTCCACCATTAAACCAAGACCGAAACCGTCACAAAGAAAGCAAATCAGCAAGGAAAAGCAACGGAAAACGAACCTGCTGATAAGGGTAACGCCGCATTCGAGTTTGAAGTCATGGGACCAGCGGCATTGGTGTCTGTTGTGTTTCGTCGTTCCAAATAAGAACGGAGGGCGATATCTCCCGAACGAATTCTCGCTACTTCATGTAGACGAATAGCTCCATCGATAGTTTGGCTTGGTGAGGTCCGTATGAGCAACCGTGGCATAGGACAGTTGTGTGCCGCAGGAAGACCAAGTAAAGTTTTCTGGGATAATACCAGAGGATCCATTTATATGATGGTTAGCCACATAAAATAATGAATAGTATAAAAAAAATTATCCCACAAAGTAATGAGGGAATAACAGGAGTGGATAGTCCTCCTCCTCGTGAAAAGCTACCATGAGTTTAGGGAACAAAGTATGAACGTTGATTAATTGACTGTGCATGAACATACGTACTTCAATCGTTTTGCTATGGTGATCTAGCCATCCATCTAGTAGTCTTCGTTTCTAACGAAGTCGTTGCTCTTAGTGCACAGATAGTGGCCCGCTAGACCATAGTTTCCCCATACTCGAATGGTCGCGTCTGGCTTCATGCTCTACCGTGCTAGGTTTAAGTCTGAATTGAGTTTAGTTCAGTCTGGGTTGTTTGGTTCTAGTTCCCTTTAGTAGTATTTACACACCGTTCAGTTCCAAGCCTTTCTCAGAAAGGCCACGCAGGCGGAGGTTCCTAATGTAACCAAGTGGTTGGACCAAATGGTTAGAGCGCGAATTTACTGACCGGAAGGTCCGTGGTTCGAACCCGACCTCTGCCTCTCGACTTCCCCTGTCTAGGCATGGGCAACCTGGCAGTATCCCAGCCCTCGTGCCTCCTTCGAGTAGCACGTCAGCTAGGCACTGAAGGGGTGCTACAGCTGGACGACTGATTGAATGAATGTAACCATTAACAGATCAGTGCAGCATGATCCCAGCAGCTCACTAAATTCAAGTAACGGGTTGTTCCCGTGATTTTTTGTATAGCAAAATGTGCTACGCAGAGTAAGTTTTACGTAGTCCTATTATTCATCCGGTGCTCATGGGCTCAAGTCAATTACAATCTGATGCGCGAATAGCATGAATTTTCAGTACCTAAGTGGAACAGGACTGCATCTGGTGAAGAGACGTGTTGCAAACTGCCGCTTGTAACAAAGATGGTAAGCCTAGTGGTCTCATGCATTGGAATGATTGAAGAGCACGAAATTTAAACGAGCTACTTTAGTCTCGATGAAAGAGTTGGCCATATGAGCATTCGCTGCATTGGTGCCGAGACCTCAAAGGCTTAGATCTCCGTGGAAGCTATACCTTAAGAAACTGGTTAGATTGAATTACATCCAGGAAGTGATTAGTAGTTCCTCGGCGCAGTGTAGCTCTTCAACAGAGAATGTGGTAGACCTGAGAAGTGTTTAAATAATTATGCGAGCGCCGCGCGTGACTTAAAACGGGGTCACCGGTTGATGACTACAAAAGATGTTTCTGGATGTAACTACTCATAAATAATCAACAATATAAAAATATAGTTCAAAGTAGAATGCACGACCAACCGCAAACCCCGACTGCCTTCAAGGCACAATATAAAGTTTGACGTTGAAAATGTAAGGACGACTTGGTTATGATATCATCACTGACAGCAATACACCAGCAGTGCATACTGGCATCTAACTACGGAATGGCGGTAGGTTACGTGACGTGCCCTCCAGGGCTTTCGGCTGGGCCTCAAAACCATAAACTAAGACCACTCACACAGTTGCCCTGGCCACATGATTCCATAACTGAAGCACGTTGGCGAACGTTGCTCGCGCCTTGATTATCCACTCAATGACTTCATATTTGTTGTAGCACAATCACAGCTACATGCGGCCAACGAAATATGTGGACCCACCAATAAACCCAAGGGATTGCTTCTGAAGTATCAGAGGAGCACAAAAGGATTAGAATCTGAGAGCACAAAACACATACCCATAAGGAAAGTCACTTGTGATATCCTATATTTTTCCATCCTATTTTTCGGGGAAAAATAGTGATCGAAAGAGTAATTCGCACCAACCAAGCCCATTAATCTCCCTCTGTAAGTGGTTTTGACACCTAGGCTCACGGTCACTTGGAGTGTGAGCTCAATAATGAAACTGAATAAAGCACAATGGGGGGTGAGCGTATAAGTCGTACAAAGAAGCTTCTGCAAAGTTCACAGTACAGACTAACCTAACCAAAGCTGAGGAAATGTAGGGCAAGAAGACTGAGAACGACTTCAAGGGCACGTTCCTCTGGCCAAGAAAAGTTAGAATGGTCGGTCTATTCACAGAGTCAAACCTCCTTTACATTTGAGGAAACGGCGATTGTTGGTCGGTGGTATACATGGTGGTACTCAAGCAGGTGAAAACGTGTAGGACCACCGATTGACCCAACTCCTTGGGACAAGTTCATGCTCTCAAATATGTAGAAATAACCTAGTCAAGGCGGAAGACAAAGATTCGACTCCCTTTTTTACTATGTTGGATAAATCTTATTTGGCCCAGCAGCCCCATGGTGCTCCAAGGCATTTCAAAACTTCGTCGATTGAGGGGGATATGTACTCACAGAGAATCGATGAAAATGAGCGGGCCGCTTCAGAACTGTTTGTCCAGCCCATCTGACTCGACCCAATCAACATTGGATATCTTCGAGATCAGCAGATCTTGTTGCTGCCAGAAAGGCCATACCAGCAACTAACGACTATGATGGCCACGCAGATCCACCAAACGCCAAATAATCAGGAGCTTACAGAATGACGGAGAACGCTGGTGGATTTCGAAGGCACAGGAGATGGAGAAGGCTTTCACTGCGGACAACAGCCGCGCCCTGTTTCAAACGATCTTATCAACGGGTCAAGAAAAGACACGTGTCAGTGAGACAATATGCGAAAAAGATGGAACAGCAATTCACCCCCACAATCGCCATCTTAAGCGGTGGGCTGAGCACTTTCAAGAACAGTTCACCTGATCTCCTTCAACACAACTGCTGGAAGAACCTAGCGGGTTCGAATGGAACAATGACACCAACCCGCCATCAGCAACCGAAATCCAGTGTGAGATTTCAATCCTGAAGCGCGACAAGGCACTTTGTCCCAGATGATCTGCACCCCGCGCTCTCTAAAGAAGGTGCGGACGTCCTGGTGAACAGTCTGACAATTATACTGCAGAAGATTTGGAACGAAAACAGAATACCAGCCGAACGGAGCTCCTCGACCGTCATCCCAGTTTTCAAAAAGGGAGCAAGAACGTCATGCGAAAACCATCGTCGTATCAGCCTGATATCCGTCGCATCTAGGGTGCTCTGTGGCATTATTTTGCGCAGATTGACGGATTATCCAGAGCGACAGATTCGTGGGAATCAAGCTGGGTTTCGCCCTGGTCGGGGATGCATCGACGATATCTTTGCTTTGGGACAAATTATTGAACAGCGCCACTCCTTCAGACGTCCCACGTTGGTAGCTTTTCTGAATTTGAAGGCTGCTTTTGATTCCGTCGATCGTCAGCAACTTTGGCAGTGTCTGGCGATCAAAGATATTCCTTCCAAATTTCTCTCCCTCACGAGGGCACTCCTGTTGGCGCGTACGAGTATACGGGAAGCTCTCGCCTGAATTCACCATGTCCGGTGGTGTAAGACACGGCTGTTCCCTTTCCCCTTTCCTCTTTAACTTTGTTATTAATACGCTGCTTGCAGGTGAGCCAATCGACGTGATAGATTAATTTTTTTTATCTGGGCAGTTATACAAGTTCCGGTGGACTGGCTGCAGATGAGATTATTTCTCGAATCGGAAAGGCCAGGGCAACTTTTGGTAACCTCCGACACCTATGACGCCGACGTGACGTGAGCTTGTCTGTCAAGGGAAGAGTGTACACTGCGGTGGTGCGATCCATATTGCTTTATGGATCAGAGACGTGGCCTCTACGGGCAGAGGACATTCGGAAATGTCACTGTTTGATCATTGGTGTCTCCGCCACATTGGTCAGGTCTGGTGGGAACGTCAGATTAGTAATGCTGAGGTACGCGATAGATGAACTCCTCACGCTTCATAGGTTGCGCTGGTTAGGACATGTACTCCGCATGCCAGAAGACCGTCTGTCTCACAGAGCTATCCTCGCCCAGCACTGTGCTGAATGAAAGCGACCGAGAGGTGGACAGTGTATAACCTGGCAACGAGGTATGAAAACACTAACCAGTAAACGTAGTCGGGTGGGCAACTGCCATCTTCTTGGATGGGGACCCCGGGACTCAAAACACCGGTGGTGGAAACGGCCCAATCGCGCAGTCAGTGACGCTCGTGCATCAAAGCTATCGCCTTTAATGCGTAGCTACCCGATTTCAGAACAAACTGAACATGCCTTCACCTCCAAGGCTTGGTTATATGTTCCACTTTCTCGTCTTTCCGGTGATCGAAACTGTAGCAGCTGGAACAAATGTACCTATGGCACACGGTTTATAGCCAACAAATTGAATTGAATTGACACAGTTTTACACTAAGCGAGTAGACTTCATAACAAAAGCTCGAAATTTAGGTATCAAGCTGTAAAAATCTGTCGTACCATACGTTCCGTGGCAAGCTGCCACTTCGTTTCAACCAGTTGGATGAGATCAGAGAGCTGACGATTGATATCCACCCGAAGTCGTAATCGTGGATTCTGTTCAGCCTCCAAAACACGCCACAAGTCAACTTGCGAAGCAGGCACAAGTTCGATCCAGACATCTTCGGGCAAGAGAAATTCATAAGTTGGTGCTAAATTGGATGGAACGAAAAGACAGAAACAAACTAAGTCAGACACGTAGGGCGAAATAAGAGTTCAGCAAGCAAGACACCAGCTAGGCTTGAAAACAAAGAAAGCTCTTACGCATACTATAAACCCGGTTATTGCTGCCTGATTCAATTTAACTTAGATGTCTGGTGCATCCCGCCATTGCGGTTGGCTCCCCTAGCACTAATCACTCTACATTCCCTGTAACCTGTAACAATATGCACAGATTTGGTTGCTGAAATTGCCTACCTATTCTGCATTTTTGTGGTACCCATCAATGTTGCTTGCAAATGAGATAAAAGTGGATGGGGAAGGGACTTAGTGCTCCTGTTTAGGCTTGGGCAAGCCGACCTTCAAGATTCCCTCAAGTGGCAAGGCAGTTGTGTACCGCAGGGTTGTTACTCGTTAATACAAGGTGATCTGGAGGCAAAGTACTGTCTCCTGTGATGGAAGTATGGACTGTAATGATGGAAAGTCAGTGCAGGTCGTCACCTCATGGTACAGCAGTTCTAATGAACACTGTCACAATCCCATCAATAATTTCCGTGCAGACGGCATTGATGAATGGGTAACCTCGGTCCACCTGATGAATTTGTCAGTAGTGACTTCAAGTAAGTAAATCCAGCTGAAAAAAGTAGTTCTTCCTCCCAAAGAGAGTATACGAAGCAACAGAGTTGAGGCAATTAAATAAATAGAAAGAGAAATCCTGTCCAACAAAGGAGGGGATGAATTTGAGCGAGACTACGAAGTAGTGAACAGTGAATGGGCTTTAGTGACACAGCAGTTCTGGAGTAAGTTGATGTGATCAAGAACTACTTGTCGCACATTTGAATGCAGCAGCATAGATGTACGATACTGGAAGACTGTCAGAATTCCACAATGCTATTGAACAAAGCAGTGGAAACTACAATGTTACGAGGTTAATTCATTTTCTACCATATCTTCCGTCGCAATACGTGTAAAAAGAGGTAAAACGAAAAAATGCAGAGCTAGTTGCATCATTTATATGAAACTGAACTGTGACGAGACCAATCAAAGGCAGTCCCAGGGCAACTCTTACGTCCTGAGTGTGCCGTACAGGCCTATATTGATTAATCAATACTGCCTCGAAGAACTTCAGCCGAGGTGGACGGTTGCTTCTTGCCAAAAACTGAAAAGCGGGTCAAAACTCAACCCCGTGACCTGTCGCGGATTGGATGGCTGATGATCGATGGCTTGATTTTCCGTTCTTCCCAAGTTAAACCAGGGTCAGCCAACAGTGTACGATGTTCAGCCACCTCAGCAAGCTTGCCTCGAAGGTAAATTAGTCTTTCTCCATGGATTAGTCTGAACCAAAGCAGATTTGGGACAGCAACTTGTAAAATTGAAATACTGTTCAGCCCTGGTAGGCTTTCAGTAGATGGAGCGAGACAGAGTACGATCACTATTCCTGGTGATCAAAATTTGAACAAAAAGGATGGTTTCTACCTCAAAGTCACAAGAAAAAAATGTTTCGATGGAGTGCGTTGAAATGTCAATTGCTTACCACTAATGTGGTTTATTTCTTTAAGTGCCGGACACACTGGAGTACGCAGCATGAACCTTCGGCCATTGTGCCTGATAATAGTGGTCCTGTGAAATAATAACATTAGGAATGCGTAGAGTGCATCTCAGAAGTTGAATTTAATGCAGAAAATGAACAACGCAAAACCCAGTACTTACCCACAGTGTACCAGTTCGTTGAGCCTTTCACCCAGGCGATGATCTAGTGCTATTTTGGATGGAAGAAAGAAGCAGTACGTTCGCGTGCGCAAAAGAATAGGCAATTAACTGGTTTAACCCACCTACAACAATCATAAACTCACGTTTTTTTATCCGTGTTCGAATAACCGAGTAGTTGACAATGGCATAAACCTCACGCACGTGCTGTGGTACAGCTTCGGAAAACTTTATATAGCGCCTGACTTTATGCCATGTTTGTTGATAGAAGAAACGAACCTGTTCACGCGTCCTTCCTCCACACGGGTCGTTCAGGTCCGACTGTCCACCACAGTGAGTGGTAGTGGGATTCGCAGACGAACCCGAAGAGGCAGAACCAGACTGACCGGACAAATTGGTTGTGGCGGAGGTCGACGAAAAACCTGGGAAGACAGTTTGATACGAGGCTGAAGGAGCTGAACCTCCAGTTGTCGGATTGCAGTCCGTGGTTGTATTAGAAGTAACATTAGTTGTGTCTGTGGTTGTGCGGTGTCCTCGGGATCGGATAAACTTGGTAATCTCTGTGAAATTTCGACCGTACTAAAAAGTATAAAACGATATCAAAATATTCCAATAAACATGTTTTAGGTGTTTGGTTTATTCAGTTCATAGTTGTAAGACAACTAGGCAGATGTTCTGTCTTGGTAAATAAGACCGAAGTACTAGAACTTGATCGCCCCGGACCAGCGCAGTGAGTTTCAGCGGCAAACTACGGCAAATAATTCCATTCCAGAAAAGCTTGGGGCCCAAATAAACCCCCATACAAACCAGAAAGAGCCAAAAACAAGGCTCCGAATCTTATGTTTGATAACAAACGAACAATACAAATCCAAATTAACCATAAAACTGCAATGATGGACAGAATACTTCACACAGCTTCAGAAATGTCATTGTGTACAGCCACTACACTTCAGAGCTCAAGGCAACGGAGTAGGGCCTGGTAGACACATTTCAAGAAAGATTAAATCGACAGCTTTCTAAGTTGGAGAAAATATTATGTTCACAAAATTCTAAGCCAACCGATTCCAATAACTTAAGGTGTGAAAGCGAAACCCATTGGCTGGTACATTTCTGTTCTGTCGCAGGTCTCCCAAAAAGAGAACCGAAGGTACAGTTGTCGATCTGTTCGAGTATTCTACCTCATTGCCGAGCGAGACGGAAAAGTGGGGTGGAAATAAGTGGGTGTACACAGTGCCAGTTTATTCTAAATGACGAAATCACCATTGCGGTCGAGAAGTCAAGGGCAGCTTTTGCCAAACGCCGACGCCTATGGAACCGATGTGACGTCAGTTCACCTGTCAATTGCATAGTATCCGGAGGGGCCATGCTATCCGTACTTCACCTTAGATCAGAGCCGTAGCCTATTCTGGTGGACATACAGAAGCTTGTCATATTTTACCATCAGCGTTTCTAAGTATTGTCCAAATCTACAGAGAAAGTCGGAGTCATAAACCTGAGCAGTCACGTGGTTCTTGAAAGAATCGACTCTCCCACGATGTGCCAACTACTCACACTCCATAGGCTATACTGGTTATGCCATGTACTACGCATGCCGAAGGACCGTCTATCCAACGAGGTTTTTTTAACCAAACCCTGCGTTGAGTAGAAACGACCAAAATACGGACAGAGCACAAAAGTTCTCATCAGTGAATTCAATCGAGTCAACAACTAGCAATACACTAGACGGAAACGACAAATCAACTGTTAATGAAACTGGTAGATAGGGTCCAGTCCCACGACCAAGATACCGAAACCATCGTCTTCAATGTGTAGCGGTCTCCCCTACTATTTCAGCGGAACGATTAGATGTCGATGTACTGGTTATGCATCGGCTGCAACGGGTAGCTATATTATTTTCGTTTTCGTACACCATTATGAAAAAGCTGTAACAACTGACCACAACGCAACCTTGGTCAAGGGGCAGTAGCCTGACACATAGCTGAACTGAGCTGAATTGAAGTGAAACTAGCCGGTGGCAAAAGTAACGTCAGAATAAAATAGGTGCTGTTGTTCTGGTAGTATTCAGTGATTGGTGAGTTTGGTAGTGTGTAAAAACAATGACTAGTAGTTCGTATTAAACGAAATGTGAAGTCACAGGAGACAACCTGAAGGTCCTTTAACATAATACAGTAGAACAAGACGCTCGCAAAGGTTATTGCATAACCAGAGGGGATGTGAGACGACTATAGTCTGTGCGCTCATGAAATGTCAAAAAAAGATAATGAAACCGACTGAAAAGCTAAGATGCCGGTGGAGGCCATAAGAATCGCCGTTGCGTGAAACAGACCACTGGTTGCATTCCGATAAAGGCTAGATAAAGAAACGTGTTCAAGAACTTCTCTAGGAATGTGCCTTCGAATAGCTGTAATTGCTGCACTAAACTGCCAACAGTTTTTTTAGAGTCGACAGTTTTCCAATCGATAAATGCAATCGAAAACCAACAACAACGTACCTACGCAAATCACAGACGAAAGTTCATCAAAAAAGAGATGCTGATGCACCTGCGAGACACTGTAGAAATGAAATAAACTGAAGGATTAGGTAAACCAAGTCAGTACAGTGGCTGTCATCGGTCCTCACCGGTCAGTGAAGCACAAACGAGAACTTACTAGTGACCAAAACACAGATCAGCATCACCACCGATTGTAACGCCGGTGTTTCGTTGCGATGGGAGAATACCAATTTATTTCACAGGAGTTTTAATGGGAAAAGTGTGGCTAAATAGGCCACATACATGAAATGTCCCAAAGTTTGCTCAAGTAATTTCAGTACATTTGGATGGACATGATATAGCAGCCTAGCACAAGTGGTAGTCTCCCTCTACTAGGTCCACTCGTTTTGGTTTTCAAAAATCAACATCATCCGCAACAACCACAGTAACTGTGAATAGCGCGCAACTCAGTGTGGTTGTAGATACTACCTCAGTGTACAAGTTTGTTGTCTAGATCCCAAATGGTAGGAGGGGCCGTGGAATTACTATCCATCATTGTTACGATGATACCAAAAAGTAGGGTAACGAAGAGGTGCGATATCCGTTAGAACAGATGCGTTCACGTTAAGGTACAAGAATATATGCCATAAAGAGTACTGTGTGTAAAACTGTTGCCACTCACCAAACGCACCGCCTGAAAAAATAGTCGACGGTCATCAGGATTCCAGGTGCCTCGCGTTCCATCTGGATGAGTGGATATCACTGGGATTATTAGGATCATTACCTGAGCGTGTCTTCACTTTATCATCAGACGTAAATTTCGCATCTTCTGACCCAACCTGGCCTGTCACAGGTGCCGAATTGGTCAGGCTGGACATGGCAGATGGCATACAAGATTGATCTGACGGGTCACCAGAACAGCTATTCGCTGTGCACTGAAGTGATTCATTCGTAGGACTCATGACACGGGCATGGTGACGGGCCTTAACAATGGCCGCGATATTTGGCGCCTCGCTCAGTGCACTACGAGTTTTCATGATTCCAGATTACCTGCAAAAAAATGAACTTGGAATGTGCATCTTCTGCGCGCATATATGTGCAATATTGCATATTCATTTCTGAAGTGACAGGGTTCCAGAGGGCCTGACTGGGCACTCGTGCACACAATGTATTCAGTGAGAAGGATGTTGATTCCACTTTTCTGAAGATCAGGTGACCGTGGACTTGTCCGTCCAGCTTTGGAAGAGAAACCAATGCAGATATAGATTTAAAGCGGCCTCTGATACCAAGTGTATATCTGGGCTTATTTTAGCAGAAATTCGGGATCGAATTGTCGCCCGTTATTTTCAGCAAGTGACGAAAACTATGCTGGCCAACTTATCTATAGCTTTGTATATTTGGATAATAAGCATCTTCCGACACAAGAGAAGACAACACAGACACCGCCTAGAATGTGTGCTTTTAGAACTACGGATTCACGCCCCTTGCAAAAAATCGTTAACTATTCCTACCCTACTTACGTCTATTGGACAAGCATTCTTTGATGAACCTTAAAAGACGGTATCCCGAACTGCAAAAAGTGAAAGCCACAGTCAATGGTGCCAGTACTTTTACCATACCATGTGCAGACACTGTGGTCCTGAGAGCTAATGACAGGTATCAAATGCGGGAACTCCAAAATGATCAAAGTACTTTGCCAGAGGACATTAGGCTGACAATTTCTGACGCTTACAGTAACTGACAGTATCCACACGTTAATCAAGTTAAGGAGCAGGTGTAGATACCAACCACAATTTTCGACATAGATAACAAACCTATCATATTTTCATCAAATAGCGAGATGAAGCAGGGAAACCTACGCATATACGGAAGACAAGGTCCTCGCCTTGCCTTCCTCTCAAAAAGTTCCTTATAATAATCAAAAGCTTAGCAGTTAAACAAACCATACCATTTTCGACAGTGTTTGGGTCAGGTTTAGCGGCTAGCCAGACGGCTTGGATATAACTTGGAAATAGACTACAAAAGGGCTGAGTTTGATCGCTTAGTAGCACCCATCGTTCGAAAGCACCACTGGTTGAGGGTACCTGGAAAGAAATCACCACAGTATCCACGGCACCAGGAAGAATACATTAGGCCATCGCTACGAGTAAACCACACGCACTTGTGTTGTCGAAAAAAATCAAGTTTTCTGTGCTTCGCTTTGTTCTAATACCTCACTCGGTTTAGACTTCTTCAGTGTTCATTCAAAGGTTAAGATGACATTCGGTGAGATTCGAAATCCATTTCTGTGTGTTCTTCTGCTCGCCCGTGTTTAGGCCCCTCCCTATCTCAAACACATCTGATTATAAACCCTAGCTCTCGACATCGCTCACACGTCAACGAAAACTTCATGTATTCCGAACGCGAAGAGCCTCTTCATGAGGATGTCCAATGAACCGTCGTATTCTTCATGTGGGGCGCAGATACTTGCGACTACCAACCAACAACACAAAAAGGGGGCGGTAGAACACTGCCAGACAACTAAGTGTGTGTGTGTGTGTATGTTTACCCATTACAAAGGTCGATGAACGCATACCAGAAGTTTCCAGATACCCCGGTTTTACCATGTTCGCTTTACAGTATTTAGTAACAAATACCCATGCATGAAGAAAAGAAATTTACAGGCGTAAGGTCAACCATGCATTTCACTTGGTGTGATAAGAAGCGTTTCCCGTTTTCAAAGTGCGGTAGACGATCTAGTCAGGCAGCTGCACATCCATGATACCTTCACTATATCGACTACAACATTGTGCGCGAAATACTGCTGAACATGAGAAAGTCATTGATTTCTTGAAGTGGCATGCATAATGGAGGCACACACAGAAGCTCCAAGATGAGTCTTTTGGGCTACGATGTACCTAGCAGAGTAATCAAACCTGACGCCTGAGTGGTTCAGCACTTCGTGGTCGATACTCAACTGCATGATACTGAGTTTCAGCAACGTGGTTCGTGATTCGAAGCCGACTCCTGCCTCTCGACTACCCCTGTCTAGGCTTAAGCGAACTGACAGTATCCCAGCCCTCGTGCCTCATTCGTGTGGCATGGCAGCTAGGCACCGGAAGGGTGCCACAGCTGAACGAACGTGTTATTGAAATGTTTGTTTAGTACGCCCAGACAAGATGCGCTGCTCGATCCAGAACGGAATATTTTCTCTTGTTGGAACTTGTCTACGATTTTCTACAACCAATGACCGGATAAGCCATGCTAGAGACTATGGAGCACGGCGTTTCTCTGTTGGTGTAGACATACACTGGATGGGGTGCTTGAGGCAACCACACATCAGAATAGACGACACACAGCAGTCTTCTTCCGGATCTTTCAGGGAAAGTAAGCACTATTCTTGAACAGAAAAGGAAACGCACGCAAATATCGAAACAAGCCGGAGGTAGCCCCACTACATTTCTGGAACTATTTCTGAACACATCAAACACTAGCGATCTACCGCTTCGACGCACAACTTGGGACATAGCAGGAATACTACAAAAACGAAGAGATCCAAAAATGAAAAACGGAGTCATTTGCTGCCAGAGACGTCCGACGTCAAAGCGGTGTCTCCTAATCTTTGTAAAGCCGTCTAGTGATCAGAATGCGCCTTGGAAACCAATAGTCGAAAAAACTTCATTTTCCGGATGCATTGTGCGTGAATTGGCCATTTTTCAGGACCGTAGTTTTCGACTGTTACTAGGTTGCTGCTCATGGCGAATCTCTGAGCGCAAGCGAATTTCACTCCTCCTCCATGAAGTCTTCGCAAGTCTCATAACGACCAAACTCTTCTTTAGCATGCCGACTCGGCAGAATAATAGAACCCAGGTATTGTAAAAGTGACACGTTCAATTTTACCATTTCCTCGTATAACACAACCCCTTGGGCAATCGTCTGTGTGGAAAAGAATTTCGCTGCGCAGGTAACTACAAGTCCGATTACCTCTGCATAGTAGCTGGCTCGAACAAGAAGACTGTTGATCTTACAAGTTTTCGCCGAGTATATCAACAGCAAAAGCAACAACAAATAACAACACCTGCGCTTCGCTGTCACAAGACCGCATCAATTTATTCGAACGGAATCATATAATTGGGAGGAGGGGACGGGGAGGAGAGTCTAGGGCTAGCCTAGCACACATGCGAGGATTGGATGATCTGAGTTAGCTTTCTAGCAAAAGTTGTGCTTCCCTTTCTTCTTCAAAAGTGAAAACAATATCGTATATCCCAGATCCAGAACGTTCACACTCGGAGGACTTGAAATCGGGGGTTGGAGAAATTCTAGTGTTGTCTCATTGCCTCATCTTTTACAGGATTAAATGAACACGGAATGGAAATGCTTGCCGTGCAACACCACTTGTGGAAAGCCTTTGGAAAGCTTTTCATGCACTCTCATGAATCCAGAAGCTTGTCAATACAAACAAAGCATGATATTCACGAAGTTCCGTGCCACACCTTGCTGCGCAGGTAAGTAAAAAAAAGAACGGGTCGACAGAATCAAATGCACCCTTGTAGTCAAGGAATACCAAAAGTGTATGGCGCCCGGGTAGCTGTCAGGCCCGCTGGTCTATCCAACAGACGATTAAATGAACACGGAATGGAAATGCTTGCCGTGCAACACCACTTGTGGAAAGCCTTTGGAAAGCTTTTCATGCACTCTCATGAATCCAGAAGCTTGTCAATACAAACAAAGCATGATATTCACGAAGTTCCGTGCCACACCTTGCTGCGCAGGTATGTGAATCTGCATTACCTGTGGTGAAGGCACATCAGCTTATCCGCCAAGAGTTGCGTTTACAATGTTGTTATGCTCTCCATACTGGTTAGAAGCTGGTCATTGTGCGCTGTGGATATAAAAACTCCGTGTTTGGCCATAGATTTCATCAGAGCATTACCTGATTCTGGTGAGGACACCGGATCAGTAAGCAATTCTGCCCGCGTGATGTATGCAAAATCTACCTACCACACAGTTTTGAATAGTTCTGGCGTTTTACAATCAGTCAAGCTGTTTTGGATTTATACTGCAT